GGGAACGAACGCGGGAATGCATGCTCCTTTATACGAACACTCCCTTTGGGCGATAGAAATGATTGGCTCTTGAAAGAGAGGTTAGATTGATGTGAATCGGAAGACCAATCATGTAGACCACAAAGGCATATTGTATCGACATAAATAACATTATGCCCTAACTTAATGTTTGGTTTTAACAATGCTATGTTTAAGCGGTTTTGATTCTCGTTGGGTGCCCCTGAAATGTAGACCTCACGCCAGCAAAATGAAGTCCTGAATATTGTACAGGCTAAGAAGCACCCAAACGTACCCACATTTTGAAGACTTTTTTATCAAACAATGCAAAGATGGCTGAAATTTCGTTTCTTTTATCACACTTCAACGCCATGTGTGATAATATATGGGTTATATGTGTAAAGCCTACTGAAGGCTACAATCTGTTGGGCGCTTTCGAGGACGCTTTATACCGAAGTAATCACTTTGTATTTTCAAAGTGGTTATTTTTAAAAGAAATTTGACTATAATTATTTTAATTAGAGCAAGGAGCGGTGAATAATGCCGTATGTTTCAGTGTGATAGGAACCCAAACAGAGGCGCCACGCAGCATGCAAGCGGCACAACCGTAAACAAGCCTGGTCAGAAATTGAAAAAGAAATATCAGAAACTTTATTTATTCAAAAGAACAGATCAGTATTCTGGCCAGGAAATTTCCTTGAAGATTGCTTGAGTCAGTATCGGGTAGATTGTGCTTCAGAGGATTGTTTGTCTTATCGATCACAGGGTCCAGAGGAGATGTGTTTGTCGTTAGAACATCAAAACCCGTTGAAAACCTCTGAAAAATTGGTTATTTTGATCGCGTTACAGTTTCGTTACACATTCTACATACCGCAAACCAAGAGACTGGGGGCTCGTAAGACAGTATCGTGCCTGGATCGCCCTTCAGACGTGCTGTGCGCCAGCGAGGCTATGGCTTGCGGTTATTGATTTTCAAAATTGCTGAATGCGGGGCAAGATTCATCAACCTTACTTTATAGTCGTCTCTCTCTTTTCGAACCAATCTTAAATAATAATACAAAACCTACAAAATATTATAACCACCACAGGGCTACAATTTAAACAGAAACCAACAAAATAAGTTTCATTATACACTACTTACTTTACAGCCATTTAAAATACAAATTATCACAGTCACTAGCTTTTAGATTTGTGATTTTAGACTGATTTTCCGACGGTGCATTGGCAATTAATAAGAAAAACTCTCGATGTCAGCAGTGACCATGCGGGCTTCTATTTATTCCATCATTTTATTCGCTTGGGTTCGCTCAATGAAAAATAGATGATCTCTGTTTTAAAAAAAAATAAAAACAAGGCTCTAAGCTTTCGTACGAACTGAAATTGAAATCCACTTTCTCGGGTATAGCCTCCCACGCAGGCGTTTTTAGGGGAACTCGTATTTCGTACAACCTCCCCAAATACGAGCTCCCCTAAAAACGCCTGCGTGGGAGGCTATCTCGGGTACAGCGGAAATAAATTTTACTTGGCAAGACTTCTCGACATTCAGATAAGTGATTTCGGGAATAGAATCCTCATTTTAATGTGACTGAACTCAGTCTTTAAATTGCCATTTTGTGATACCAATACTTGACTTTCATTGCGTTGAATCGGGGTTCAGGAAGTGACAGAGCAGACTAATTAAACAACTTAGCGACGGCGACGGCGACGACGACAGAGACAAGAAAATAGAAAAAACGTGTGAAATTTTCTGCCATTTTTTCCCGCACTGAGAACAAGGTGGAGTGGGAAAAAATGACAGAAAATTTCACACGTTTTTTCTATATTCTCTTCTCTGTCGTCGTCGCCGTCGCTAAGTTGTTGTGCTCGCCAGTAGCGTTTAATACCACGGAAAACAATTTCGCTTGATATGAGATGATTTCTTTGTAAAATCGACGATTTGGTGGAAAACGGGAACCCGACGAAAACGGCGTTCCCAGGTATCATACAGAGGCTCAGAGGATATTGTGATAAATCAGTAAAGAGTAGTATTATTCCGTGTGACCTACTTTTGATGTCCAATTTCCTAATTATGGGAGTTCTTAGTCGTTTTTTGCTTTCCCCTGAAATGGTTCTTTTGCTGATTTGCTAGGTCCGGGCGAACATTACTCTGTATGGTGGTGTGGAAAAATTACACTATACCTAGGTCTGTTGCGCTTAAAAGCGCCAAATATAAGGCTAGAATAGCCGAAAACAGTTTCATCTTGGATGCGGTCTCACCAGCGCTCACAGGGAATTGCTGAGCAGTTCTTTTGAGTTTTTGTTTCTCACAGTTCTCTGTCAAAGTGATGACTCATTGAACGATGGAGCTGAATAAACGAGTTTAGACAGGATCTTATGATAGACGTAAACATCAGGAGGCGAGACCATGATCATCCGAGCAGCGAGTTCAAGCTTTAATTATAAGTTGTGGATGAAACTATGGTAGCATTACGCGGTCTAGTTTTACCAGCAACAATATATACAGTGGTCATTTCGTTAGTTTTTTCCTACCTATTTTTTATCGCTAGTTTCACTGTAGTGAGATCTTCATTCAATTTGCGGTTATTAGTCTTGCTTGCGTAAGCAGCGAGACACATAATCTGCAACGCGTTTTTCGTCTTATTTTGTACACAAATGGGGGCCATTGTGCCAGGCGTTCCTAGCGGAGACCGTGGAAACTGGGACTAAGAATCGTTGCGTGATCGAACAACCTCGTCCCCAGGGCGCTTTTCCATGGCTTTGGAGGTGGAGCAAACTAACCATAATTTTTGGTGTTATAAAAATTTATTGGTGATTTAGCCTGATCAGAGCTTAAATAATCAAAATGTTTAAAATACAATTTGCTGTTGTTCTGTTGTATTGACCACCAGCATGGCCGCCTTGTCACCTGGTTTCAAACAAACCAAGAATATCTTTTCCTAATTTTGGACGGCTTATGATTTCGATGATGATATTTACAGCTTCGAAGTTATTTTAAAACACGAAACGGGTTTCAGTAAAAAGAAAGAATGGGCATAGTATCTGATACTGCGGGATGATTTACAAGAAAACGCATTCCAAAAATTGCATTGTGCAAGATTTTTTTTGCCCTCGCTTCTTTGCGTGAGAAGTTTCATTCGTTCGCAGCGCTAAGTCATCAATTTTTTCTTTCAGGTTTTTATGGTCAGGGGAGTAGAAAAACGTCACAGTGAAATATCGATTATGATGTATGTTTGCTAATTGTTGTGTTGGTATGTATGATAACTGTCAAACACTCAGATTGCGAACATTATCACTATTTTTTTTTTTTTTTTTTTCAGTTGCTACTCACTGTTCAAGTCAAAGCATACAACCAATGGGATATAATTTTTGTTGTAAAGTAGTACCTTTTTGTGCAAATTTTAAAAGATGGTAATGTAGGCTAGTGAGGTATTAACATAAATACTAAATATTTTGACTAGTTGTAACAAATTAATTGATCACCGTGTTCACAAGAAAAACAAAGGGAAATGTCTCTACAGTCTTAATCTATGTAGTTAGGCCTGAATTCTAGGAGTTGCTGAAAATTTTATGATTAAAAGTGTTAATACATCAAAAAGGACAGAAATTTAATTGACTGAAAAAGAAAACATCAAGATTGAATCTACCTTTAAGTAAATAGGATGATTAATAGCCAAACCGTAAAGTGATAATTTAGATAAAACCACAATATAAAGTTCTACTCCGCCTTCTTGACGACCTTAGAAACATCTTGCCAGTTTTTTGAGAGTGCGCATGCGTCATTTTGCGACTCTTTTTCTTAATTGTGTGATAAAATATAAATGGCTTGGATTGTGTTCTTGCCAGGCGAGCGCGGGTTTATCTGCGATCAGATCCTAGGTCAGCTTTTCATTTGACGTATCGTACTGAGTGAGTGGTGGTCTATTCTTACTGGGGCTATCCGCAAACAATGCAACAATGTGGTAGGAGTGGAGAGATCCTGGTAGAGAACTTGTTTATCGCTGCGGGGAGGTGGGTGGGCGCGTTAAGAAGTGTGCGAAACACCGACAAGACTGAGCACGCTATTGGGAAGAGAAACTGGCCTTATATAAGAAACCCATAATGTGCAGACACGTATAGGGTAGCCGCGGGCTTTACGCGGCGTGCTAGTGTTACGTAATAGGATTAAAGGCTATTTCATTGTGGAGTCCCTAGAGAGAATTACTTTTTCTAACAGATGCTTGCATCACCGAACGTTTTATGAGCTGTTACCTCATCCTGCTTTTCGACAACTCAATGGAGACTTAAATGCACTGGGTTAATGTGAGATCTAAGTTGCCCCTAACGTAGTAGAAATATTGGAGCGAGACCCTGTCTTCCTCCAGCGCACAAAGTTGAGAACGCGTACTTCAGAGCGTCACTCTTAGAGCCGGGAGTGGCCGAGGGCCTGCACTAAGGAAGTCTTTAAGTATCCCAACGACTTTTGAGTAACATTGTAGGATAAGAGCCGTCGTTGTTCCTTTTGCTGTAAAAGAAAGGAATAGTTCAATATGACTCTTATTTTTATTCGTTTTTGCCCCTTACACAATAATTTAGTATAGGCATTTTGCAGCTAGTCATTCACCTGGTACAAGACCGCCATTCTGGAGAGCAAGAGTCACACCTGGACAAGACAAACCAATGACGTTCATCAAATAAAACTGATGCTAATTTCCATTGTTTGTCTTGTCCCAGTGTGACCCTTACTCTCTAGCATGGCGGTTTTGTACCACGTGAATTACAAGCTGCGAAGACCCCATTGCAGTTTTAGTTTCCCTTTACATTATATTGATCAGTTTCTTCCACGGAGGTTCCTGCTTTTTGTTTATTTTCGGCTTTGATCATCAACGAAGACAGCTTGTCAACTAAGGGAGCCTCTTGCAAACAAGGCCACAGGGAAGCCCTGGAGTTATCCCACATGGAAGGTCATTCCAGAGCCCGGAAGCGCGGATAGGCAGGTGGGGGAAGTGCCCAGTCCACATGTGACCTCATGGTTCCCGGGCTTTTCCTTTCGGTTCGAAGGGAGCCCAATACTTAAAGACTGGAATTGAGTTATCAGACCAGATGAAACCGTTGAATCTCGGGCTCCACTTGAGTCCGATCCAAGCTTGATTCAGTAATGGCGCTTGTTTTTTGACTAACTGCAGTACGAACTCGTTTTCTTCGAAGCTGTTGATCTTCACCAGTTCTCCTCCCAGTCCTTTGCAGTACGTTTGGGCCTGGTGCCAAGTCTTGATGGTGCTTTCGACCAGGTAACAAAAGCGTTTGAACTGCGTCCAGCCACTGGGACAAGGAGCTTTTTAAAACGTGTTCAAGAAAGGAAAAATTTAATTCATTACAACTATCATCAAAACCGTTAGGGGACTTGTTGGAAATGTTGTATTTGTGCTATTAGATTCATAGAGAGCTTTTGATTAAAGGACGACATTTAAATTTAAGTTTTCTCGCCTAGGCCCAAACAAAAAAACTGGAACATTATTTTTGGAATGCAATTGACATGCAAAGACTACCCTCATGGGAGCAGTACTTGGTTTAGCTTTTGTGAAAGATTGCAAATGATGTGACAGAGCCGGTAATTACTAAGCTTCGGCGAATCAAACACTTAAACACAGGGGGTTCTTGTTGTTGGATTTAAAAATTGGAATTAAGTGACAAAAGGTGTAAATCAACACTTAACGAATAAGAAATTTCAAAGTTCTCATGTTCAATCTTGTCCCTTTGCTTCTCCTTCGCCTGTTTTAATGTTATGACTCTATAAAGAAAATACTGATTATTCTCGTAGTTTGTTGTACAGTAGTGGCTCAGAGGTATGATCTTGTCGTCTTGTCGTTTGTCGCTCCTAAAGGGCTGTGAGTAAAGAAATTTACGAAAAATGCCGTGACTTCGACCACACAGAAATCTAACGTTTAAAAAAGAACTCGACATGCTGGGCACGACACAAAACACTAGCTCTTATTTAGATGTCTGTTTTAGTATGGTCCCCTTTAGGGGTCAGTTTAAGCTTCAGCCACACCCACATTGGTCTCCCTTAGGTGGTTTAATTTTAGTTTCCAGACTAGTATCCCCTTTACGTTTATACGGGAGTCCCCCGAGGGTTTCCGTTCCCTCTATCGTAAACCTGCTCAGCATAGTTTGGTGTAGAAGAAAAAGACGGTTTGATCATTATCGTCACGAGCCATATTTAAGTTTACTTACCGAGGCTTTTATGAACACCTTGTAGCGTTTGCATTAATAACTTATCACTCAGATCATCACCATCCTGAACATCCTGTATGGGGTGTTTTTCTGACTGAACTGAAAGAAATGTCTAGGCTGTAAAAAGGGCCCTTTTAACACGACTTCCAACATGTTGGTCCATTACTCTTGCATGTTTGGTCAGTAACGTTGGACCACCATGTTGCCTTTAATCGGTGACACAACCACAGAAGAAAATCGTTAAGATATTTACTCTTGTTCGAAAAGGGTTTTTGTTCGCTAAAGAAAAAAAATTACTTTTAAGGTTGGGGTGGTTGCAGTTCGGCCACTTGTTCACTTGTACAGGTAACTGCAAAAAAAGTGTCGATAGTCTCTCAAGAAAAGGCGCCTACGGGGATAGCAGTTCACTAAAAGAGAGGGTTTATTGTGGCTCCTGCTCAGAAGCCTTCAGAACCGTGATTTCACTTCCAAACATTTCATTCATGTCTTCCCTATTTGGTGGCGGCTATCTTACCTGAAGCGCACCAAATAGCAAGATACAGCTGAAGGAGAACTGGAAACATTTTTATCTTCATTTAGACTGTTTGTCTTCACCTAATCTTAGGAGTCCGTCGAATGGATGGACCTTTTTCGTCTCACAGCCGTCCACGCGTGCTGTTAAAATACATCAATAGACAAATGTTTGTATTGTCTGTTGTAAAGTATATGATTTGGGGAAGTCAAGAAAAACTGAAAAATGAAGTGTTATTTTATAAGCACTTAATCATTTGCGGTCACTTGCTTTTTCATGTAATTTAACAACTGTCAATTTTTTTTTTTTTTTCACATTTATAAATAATAATACAAAAACTACAAAGAATTATGACCACCACAGAGCTACAAAAGACATTTTAAGCCATAAACAATTTTCATTATAAACTACTTAGTCTACTTAACAGCTATTATAAATACAAATTATCATAGTCACTAGCTTTTAGATTTGTGATTGTAGACTGATTTTCCGACTGTGCATTGACAAAAAAAAAAAAAAAAAA